ATCTCAAAATCTGTTTGAGACACGTCACCGATAGTTAAAAACAAAAGAAGAGCTTCGCTAAATAAATTCTCTGATCGGCACGATCAAAGAAACATTGAACAGCCTTGCGGGTTTTTTCAGTAATAGACGCAATCAGAGCGGTAAAACCGATTATCCTGCTCGAGTGACGAGAGGATCCCCAGGTATTCCCAGGTATTTTCCGAAAATCTCCAATAATCACTGGGCAATCGTGTAATCTTCCACCCGCATTGTTTGCGCGGTCAAACCGCCATTGCTATACCGTAAGATTCTCTGAACCGGTGCTCTAGTTCATTTCATCCTTTCATTTAACCCTCATTACGTCGTCGAGTTGTAGAACCGGCAATTTCGCGAGAATGAAATTCGTATCCCATCGAGAAATTAAAGCTTTATAGGAGGTAAACGCTTCGGTGAATAGATTGCGTTAAAAAAGTTTACTAAAAATGGACCATGATAACAATGGAAACGTCCCTGGTAGTTATATTAAAACGATAGTATTAAAAGATGAAGTAAATCTGAAAACTATTGAAATCTTTTAAAGAAATTCGAACAATTGGCTTGATATATATACATATATGTATATTTGCATCTTCTAATTTCCTGTAAATGGAGAAAAATTCACAAGTCTACTTGTAACACATTTCAAACCGATTCGATCGCTCGATAATTTATATTAATTATGACCATCTGGTATCTGTATTCAAATATTTTGGTATATTTTTGCGCATTTGGTATATTACATGCGCTCTGCGTATTTCTGCAAAATATCTTCAAATTTCCCACAGACGCATAGAAATACTCGCAGTTCAGTTATTGCACATTTCAAGTCCAACGCGATCACTGCGAGTCTACAGCAATCGTCCGTTCGCCCCACTAATTTGGAGCAGTGTCAATTACGACGGTCTCGATACGAGACCAGCTGGTGTCCTAATACTCATGAATCAGGGCGAGGTCTTCGAAAATGCCGGAGGACAAGCGTTCCCGAGGCTGGGACCCACCCACGAGATTCTTAAGCGGCGGCATCCGTCGATTCGACGAACTCGCCTGTGTCGGTCCGCGGTTCACAGATATCCTCGAAATCCTCACCGCGGGCCAGGTACCCTAATTGCCGGGGCGCCAATGGATAAGCGCGGCCTGTCGGTCCCCGAGGACAGAGAGACTATTTTCTTTCTCGTTCGGAAGCACACCACCTACGATCGGAATTCCATCCTCTGGCTGGAACCGTGGCGCGTCCACCGCGTTGCACAGACTTCAGGAATGCCCCCCGAGCTGCGACGATCCTGTAATGTTACGTTCTAGACGCGCAAGAACGACACAGACCTCCGGCATCTGCCGGTAATTCGAGGATTCGTGCCGAGTGTCGACCGTTGGGATGATCTCTAGGTGAACTCCCCAGGTACTGAAAACTGTCCGAGATGATGGACAATCGAAGGGTGCAATTGTAGAAGATACCGAAAGTGCCAAAGTTTAAAGAATTTTTCAAACACTGAAAAATGTTCCGAAATGGGAATAGACGAGGGTTGCTGGATAATATTCATGCAAAAACGAAGATGATGTC